TATAGCAAATGACTGCGGAAAAGTTCTGTCCGAATAAGTCGTCATGACAGTAGAGCAGGTTGCAAAAACGAGATCAACCCCCTTCTATTTATCGAAAGGAGACTTCGATCATTCCTAAGGCCACACCATCTTGGTCTTTGTTTCTTTGACTAAGTTACTTCTATCTATTAAAACCCTTTAGTTCGTCAGTGTTCCTATTGCAGTCTCCTTTCGTTGTATTGAATTGGTTTGACCTAGTTTTCGCAAATTGATCGTCTTGTCAGGGTGATCTGTTTTAACGCATCTTGTCCGGCGTCCTCTGCCATAATGACTGATGATTTTCAGCGTTGGACCATCAATTTGGCACATTCCTAAACTTATTACTGGCATCATAGTCAGCGTCGTTAGTCCGCTTTGCCATGGTTAGCACCAAACAACATCTTGAGGATATGGGATAAGTGAATGTACCAGGACAGAAGGAGAGATACCACAATAATCCAGCACAAAGTTGGCCAAGGGATGGACTTCACTTGCATCTTTGTCGAGCTAGAGTTACAAGGCTCAATGACGATGCTGACTATGATGCCGGTGATAATTCTGGAAAAAGTGTCAAGTCCAAGGTCTGAGGCTAGAAATTACCATGACAACTATGGTAGAAGACTCCAGACAGGATGAGTTTACTTAGGTGACTCTGAAAAAATGATCGAGTTGATAAAATGAAGCCGAAACAATTTAATGCAAATATAGAGACTATACGATATATTTAGTTGCTGCACAGAAATTGTGGCTTATATTCCTATTCACACATGGTTAGACTACCTTATTATAAAAATGTCTATAGAAACCTTATCTAAATGGATATAAAATGGCAAACTCAGTCTGTATTTCCTAAAAATGACCCTAAATTCGATTTTTATCAATCCTTTCTCTAGAGCACATTTTTTGTTACCCTCCCATAGGCCAGGTCTTTGTTTTAACATAGTGGTTCAGCCTATGGATTCTTGGCCTCTTTATAGTTTTCGAAGATGAGATTTGAGGGAACTCTTGAGTGACTAACCAACAAGTGAATCTTTCAATAAATCAACAAGGAAGTTCATTGATGCAAAGAATAAATTTTTAGTGCGCCAACTGATCAAGAGCGAACACCGCCATTTACAAAGAAACCATATTTAGCCGGAATACTTGGGCCAAACTCGAACCACATTCTTGCATAAGAAATGACTTTCAGGTGCATGCAGCAAGGTCTAATTACTTTACCAACTAAGAAATATCTTTTGACAATATCTTCTTTTAATAATAAGCCTTGATTTTAATCTGCTAAAAGTTGGCCGATGTGTCTAGAATAATTTTTAAAATAAGTGAACCCTTTAACTGAACACAACTGAACGTAGTTTACTTATATTTAATAGAATAGGTTTATGTTTTAGACAATTGCTTTACGATTTCCCATGTAATTTAACTTCCGCTTTCAGGTTCTTTGTAGATCGAGAATACTACTGTAGCGATTAGCTGTTGGAATTAGAAAGCAGGATTTGTTTTTGTAAGCTTAAAGGTCAAAGGTAAAGTGTACCTAAATACCAAGAGGCTCTATGCATCAGGCTAGATAATCCAAAGAAGAGTGTTTTAGCCCACCATGCTTTGAGCTCTCTTTTTTATAGCAGGACTACATTATCTTTATTATATGTACTCTGGTAAAGGTGAGCCCAAGGCATACTTGTAGACATAGATATGAGGGGAAAATGGTATGGCCTTGGGTCGGTAACAGTCTTTATTCCCTATTTAGAGCTGGCTTGAGTACGCATTATGTCTAGGACGATCACTTATTTGCGCATGTTTTCGCAACTTGGACGTATTTACAGGATGAAGTAAAGTGTCGTTGTTATGTCTGCCACCAGTTTCGGATTGTGGTAGAAAGCTTGATGACGCTGACAGAGGACGCATTATGGAGTAAGTTATTCAAGGTTCTCCTTAGGATACGAATAATTTGCGCAAACGAGTTTGAAGCAAGGCCAACTCCTAAAATTGTGAATAAAAATTAAAACAAATGAGCATAAAAGCAATATACTCTGGTTCGTTAAGCATATAAACATGATTCCACCTCAACATAATGCAAGTAGTGAAAGAACTGGTGTACAGCTGCATTCTTTTTATCCGATTCCTTGACAAGTAGACTCTCACCTTCGGTATCTCTATTGTCAAAAGATGTAGCTCTTGCTCCGAGAGCCACGCCTCCAGCTGGCTGGCGTCGAAGACGAGTCGATGCACCAATTCATGGCGTTCCAGGCACTCGGACAGAGCGTTCAAACCCAAGGTCAAGCAGGACCAGAGGGAACGCAGCTCCCGAATCGAGTCACGCAGTGGACTGATGCGTACGCCGAATTGCCGCATTGCAGCAACATCCTCCTGCCGGCCGCTGGTACTTTCAGCATACTCCAGTCCCTCATCTGGGCGCAGGAAGCGTCGTTCGATGGTCTGATAGGAAAGAGTTAAATATCACCCAAAACTGCAATAATTCGAGATAGCTGTTTATTCAAGTGCGTGCCCGTGATTACCTTTTGGGCCTTCACTGGATAAATATAGCTATACCGACCCTTTAATTGCAAAGATAATCAGGTATCAGGTACTCGACGGGGTACATGTTTTGCTGCATGGGGCCACGAGAAACATGGAGTGGAAGCGAGTTTTTGGGTATTATATTGCATTTCCCTTTGCAGACGTGAGTCGTAATTGTGCAGAATTGAACTTTAGGGATACGGCCCTATGTATATATATATATATATATCTACGGGCGGTTAATGCCAAACACTCATGTGACTAAGTTAATTTGAGTTAGCCATCTTTTATAAGCTCAGTGTATAAAATGTGACATTAATTAGAACTAAAGTTGAGGATGTATTAATTGAGCCGCCCTGTTTTAGCAAGATGCGCTGCCACATCTGAACTCTAGATCCAATACATAAA